TTCTTTCCCTTTCACAACATCTATTGTACCCTTCAGTCTTCTTTACTCTCAGGGTCTCACCCTAAGGAGACAATACGGTGTTTACACGTGCAGGTCTGGTTTATTTCACTGATGAGTACGGTCTCTAGTTGTACCCATTTACCTATAAAAGCCTTGAGTTTATCTTTCTTTATAGCTGAGTAATACTCCATTGTATACAAATGGCAGATAAATACATGAAAAAATGTTCAACATTATTGGTCATTCAAGAGATGCAAATTAAAACCACAGTGGGCTTCCATCTCACCCCAGTAAGGATGGCTGTCATCAAGAAATCAACCAACAACAAATGCTGGAGGGGCTGTGGGGAAAAGGAACCCTACTCCACTGTGGGTGGCAATGTAGACTGGTGCAACTACTTTGGAAATCAGTCTGGAGATTTCTCAAAAAATTAGGATTAGAGGTCCCATTTAACCTAGCTATTCCTCTTTTGGTTGTTTTCCCAGAAGAATTAAAAACATCATACCACAGTGATATATGTGCACCCATGTTTACAGCAGCACAATTTATCACAACAAAATCTTGGAAACAACCCAAATGCCCATCAACTGAGGAGTGGATAAGAAAAATGTGGTATTTTTGTACATTGGAGTATTACTCAGCTATAAAGATAAACTTGAGGCTTTTATAAATCTGCTTTAGAAAGCCATCGTCTGTGTGGAAGCAGAGGTCTGTTACCCTTCTCAGTGAATAAAATACGCACTTAGCATTTGGCAGACAAGGAGCCTGTGCATGTCTTTCGAAAAGAAAAGACTTGACAAAGTGGCTCTGGGAAAGTCAGGTGACAGCAAGGAGGAAGCACAGTGCGAGCACACGCGGAGTCCCACACGGCCAGGTGATCAGCGGGAGGGCCTGGGGCCAAGCGGCACAGGACTCACAAGGTTGCTCGGCTACCACCGCCCCACCCGTCCACTGGCAGCCTTGCTCATCCAGTCCCACGGGCAGCAGGAGACCAGGACAGGAGAGGTCCGGGGCTGGGACACGGCACACCGACCCGGCCCTGAGGGCTTGCCCCGCGCGACACAGTAGTGGGGTCCCTGGCTGCGGGGGAGAGGAGAGGCCACGGCCCCACCTGGGCCCCAGCACACAGGGACTGGCGGGGAGCGCTGAGGACAGTGGTCGCCTAAGGTGCGTGTGTGCATATGAGCAAGCGTGTGTGTCGTATGTGTGTGACGATCTCTCTTCTGGCTGGTTTCCAGTTCTGGTCTCCACTGACAAACTGGAGCCAGAAGCCACACTCCATTCCCCGCCTGTGGGGCCAGTGCTCTTCACCAGGCTCCCAGGAGCCGGGCTTACATAGATGTCACCCTCCAGCCTCCCCCGGAGCTGAAGTCCGGACACAGAGCTAGCACCGAAGCATTTGATTCAGATGAAAAGTCGGTGTGGATCAGAGCTGCGGCAGGGAGCCGTGGTCCTGGAGAAATGCAACTCTGAAGGGTCCTTTCTCTTCACGGCTTGCAGCTGAGCGGGATGCCCACAGGGAGCCACTCCAGCAGTGCTGGGGTGCGGGGGGCAGACCGGAGTGATGAGGGGGTTGGAGGGAGTTCTGAGGCCGCAGAGGTGTGAGCACCGGCAGCAGAAGGGGAGGCCTAAACTGACGGCTGGCCTCAGAGACAGTGGCCGCAGGACCTGGACGACGGAATTCAAAAGGCTGCTAAACCCGAGAAACAAAGTCCAGCCTTCAAGTGATCAGAGGGACACAGGTCAAACAACTTTGTCAGGGGTCCGCAGGCACGATCCTCTGAAAACGCTGAGTGTGCGCCGCCGGGTCTGACAGGCAGAGCCTGAACTTCGGTGCCGCCCACTGCGGGTGTGCTGGGACATGCAGTCCTGACTGGCCGCTCGGGGAGCCCGGGTGTCCACTCGTAGGGCTCGGCCTGTGCCACAGCCCTTGGGGACACCGCATCCATCACACGAGCCAACAAATGGGGCTGAAACCGAAATCCCACCCTCGACGCGCGGTGGCAGGAGCTCTCGGTGGGGACACGAGGCCCAGCTGCCCGGAGCCCTCTCGGCCGAGGCTGAGCTTCTTCGCTTGCTCATCACTAGCAAAACGACTGACAAGCCGAGTGTGGTGGCGCACGTCTGTATTCCGCACACTCTGGGAGGCTGAGGCAGGTGGACCGCAAGTTGGAGCCAGCCTGGGCAATTCAGTATTTTAGCTGGCCCCTGCCTCAAAACAAAAATGGGCTGGGGATGTGGTTCAGTGCGGAGGCCCTGGGTTCGATTCCCAGTACTGCACATATGCAAGAAGTGACCACAGCTTAGGAAGACTCCTGCATCCAGCCTGACTCTCACGGACAAAGCAGACCCTTCGGAGCCAGCACTCCAGACCCGGCCCTGCCGGTGGATCAGCGCCTGTGCCCCACATCCCTGCTGTGGGCCCCGCTGTCTCCTTAGGACTGCGGGGCGGAGCAGGGTGTCTTTGTTTTTTGCCTCCGGACCTTGGCAGTAGTGCCTATGACTCTAGGTTCAGTCTGGAAGACAGAGAGATGCCGAGGCCATGGAGCTGCAGCAGGGCAGGCACAAGACACACGGAACCAGGCAGGTCTGGGTGCCCTGGCGCCAGACTCTGGGCGGGGGTGGGGGTGGGACTGGGCAACAGCTGGTGCCAGCACGACCACAGGGGCTTCTCCCTCCCACCTTTGGAGCGGAGAAGATGCAGAGCCCAGACTCAAGCCTAGACACTTTGGTCTCCAAGTCCAGGCTCCTCCCTCCATCCCGCCAGGCCCTCCTCCGAGGTGTAGCTCCCGAGGCTCCATGGCTCTGGAACAGGAAATGACCACGAGCTCGGTCCAAGGCAGGGAGCCCTCAGCAAGAAAAGACCGGGCCACGCAACGGCCGCAGAGCGTCACGGACAAGTCGGCCGCTGGCCTTCCAGAGACATCTGGGACCGGGCAGTGCGGTGGTCACAGGGACAAAGAGAACCCGGACCCAGGGGCTCTTCCGCCCCATGACAGACACTGTCTTCCTTCGTGACACGTTTTCCTCCAGCTACCAGGGCAAGTAGATCTGTCCAGACGCCCTGATTTTGTCTTTCTCTCCTTTTCTAAAGTAAGAAGTAAGAAGTAAGAAGTAAGAAGAGAAACTCCATATGTCTGCCTAAGAAGTTGACAGAAGTCTGCGAGAAAAATTCAGTGCAAATATATTTTGGATCTCGTGAAACAGACGGCCCTGGGCAACGTCTCCACAGCCCGTCAAAATACAGACTCCGCGAACAGACTCTCGTCGTCGTCCGCGAGGGGGCCGG